ATATATATATTGATTTCAGAGAGGAAGGGAGAGGGTGAGAAAGATAGAAACATCAGTGATGAGAGAGAATCATTGATCGGCTCCCTCCTGCACTCCCCTTACTGGGGACCGAGCCTGCAACCTGGGCATGTGTTGAAATGACCAGGAATCGAACTGTGATCTACTGGTTCATAGGTCGACGTTCAACTGCTGAGCCACACCAGCTGGGCTAACCTTTTTTCTCTTGAGTTAAGAACATTATGACCAACACCTTAAGGGATGCATATATAAAACCTCTTGAAAAAATATATATTCACTCCCAGTGTGTATACTATGTAGATAATATAAACTAGCACATAAGTACAATCTGAAATTGGTTTAGCCAGTAGAAGTAGATCAAGCGGGAAGAAAATGCAACTCATTAAAATTGCTTGGGAAAGACAGTGCTTCTCTGGGTTTCTAACAGCTCTGATTACATTCCCCAGAGTGTTTCTGCAATTATATAACCTTTTTCTTTTTAAAAAAAATATATTTTATTGAATTTTTACAGAGAGAAAGGGAGAGGGATAGAGAGTTAGAAACATTGATGAGAGAGAAACATCAATCAGCTGCCTCCTGCACACCTCCTATTAGGGATGTGCCCACAACCAAGGTACATGCCCTTGACCGGAGTCGAACCTGGGACCTTTCAGTCCGCAGGCCGACGCTCTATCCACTGAACCAAACCGGTTAGGGCAATTATATAACCTTTTCATGGCTTCTCCTTGAGAATCAAACTTGGTCTAAAAAGATGGACTATCATAAGATTGTGGGAACTTCTAAAGAAGATAGAATCCTTTAAACGATTAGGAATTAGGCCCAGCTTTGTATGATTCTGATGGAGGCTGAGAAGTCTGGTACTTCTGGGGCGGTTTTATCTAGAAAGCAGAAGACAAAAGTCTTTTCCAGTAAGACTTCCCTTGGGCTTTAACTATGGTCCTTTATTGACTTCTGTTTCAGTTGAAGGAATATTCACAGAAGGCTGTGGAGATTCTGCGGACTCAAAACCATATTCTTACCAACCATCCCAACTCCAACATTTACAAGTGAGCTTTGTTCTGCTTTCTCCCTATTGAAGCTCAGCCAAATTGCTCTCTCAACGTTGATTGGCTCTAACATGCGAATCAATATGCCCCTGTCTAGTTGGTTTTTGAATCCCTCCCTCATAGCTGGGGCCTTGCACATAGAAGTTACTCAAAATATAATTGCTGAATTTGGGTTTGGTAAGCAGTAATTTAAAAAAAAAAAAGATCTCTAGTTTCCAGAGTCTAAGTATAAATAAAATAAGACAAGTTTACAGAAAATGGCTGCATTAAAAAAAAACTTTTGAAAGAGACCATTGGTTAAACTGATAATTTATTGTTTCCAGGGTTTAATAGTGACTATTCTTTTTTTCCCTTCTAACTTTATTGAGGTATAGTTTCCATAGGACAAAATTCACCTATTTTAAATATATAATTCAATGATGTTTACTATTTGTAATTGTGACTCTGAGTCAAACCGTAAACTTTTTAGGATTCCCCCTGACCTCGGGACAGCTCAGAAACAGGAAACTTCTATTTGAAATTTCCTTCCTATAACTTCTCAACCCTGTTGGCATTTCTCACATGTCTTTATGTTCTTACTAGGGTGGGGATTGCCTTGGGGAATATTGAGCCATGGCCTTTTCATGGCTTCTTTATGAAGCTCAGTGCTTTCTAAGATGAAAATTTCTGTATATGCTGAGACTGGTTTCTTCTTTAGCACCTTGTCTGGCTTAGTGGAGTTTGATGGCTATTACCTGGAGAGTGATCCCTGCCTGGTGTGTAATAATCCAGAAGTGCCGTTTTGTGTAAGTGACATCTTCAACGTGGATGGTCCTGAGGCTCACAGGGCCAGTGGGTTTCTTCCAGAGATTGGTTGTTACTGCATAGGTGTTCTCCTAATGCTTGGTCATCAGGGGTATGAATTCTTACCTGCTACACTTGTTACCTTAAATAGAAATTTCATCCATGGATGAAGAGTGGGTTACAGTGATGAATTTTGAAGAAGACAGGATGAGCCGTTAGCCTTGAACTAATACAGTGTTTTGTGTGTCCTCTTGTGTTTAGTATATCAAGCTGTCTTCCATTAAAGTGGACACCCGGTACACCACCACCCAGCAGGTAGTGAAGCTCATTGGCAGCCACACCATCAGCAAAGTGACGGTGAAAATTGGAGACTTGAAGCGGACCAAGATGGTGCGAACTATCAACCTCTATTACAACAACCGAACTGTGCAGGCCATCGTGGAGCTGAAAAACAAGTACGGGCTCTTTGGACTTGGGGATGGGGAGAGGGGCTGGTAAGGCTTCCCACCTGTTGTTGGCTTTGATTGCTGGGATCCGGTAAAGTAGCGCATCCCTAGAGGTCCAGTATATCCTCTTATCCACTTCAGTCATGACGGGGACAAAAGTGAAATGCCAGTTCCTAAGGATGTCAACAAAGATTATTTTAAAGTCATGTCCAGGGGGCCCTCGGGGTCAATGGAAGTTCATCAACAGCTTGCCTAGGGAGGGGAAGCTTAGTGAGGGGCACGCCAGGTTTCTCATACCCAGGTTAACTAGAGCAGTTTCATTTTTATATAAAACCGTCTACATTGGGAAGCAGTTGTCATTTTTTGGATTTAGATGCTATTCTCTTGCTCACAGAGCAGGCAATATTCCTACAGAAGTTTTTCTAGTACACAGTCCTTCCATTTCTGCATGGTGCCTCCCCTCTGTATCTGCTGACGTTGGGTCTTTCTAGCTCATGGATGCCAATGTTTGAATCGGGGCAAGTCATATATGGGCTAAAGAAGGTACTAGCAGGTTACAGTGTTGACTTTTACCGAGACAGATATCTTTTTTAAAAAAAATATTTTTTGTTGATTTTTTTACAGAGAGGAAGGGAGAGGGATAGAGAGTTAGAAACATCGATGAGAGAGAAACATCAATCAGCTGCCTCCTGCACACCCCCTACTGGGGATGTGCCTGCAACCAAGGCACATGCCCTTGACCGGAATTGAACCTGGGACCCTTCAGTCTGCAGGCCGACACTCTATCCACTGAGCCAAACCAACCAGGGCCAGAGACAGATCTCTTGTTGAAGTCTCAGGCATTGCTGTTGGGCATGAGTAGATACTGCCTGAATATTATGACTATGGTGCTGCCTGGCCAGTGTTGCTCAGTGGTTGAGCATAGACCCATGAACACGGTTCGATTCCCTATCAGGCAGCTGATTGATGTTTCTCATCGATGTTTCTAACTCTTGAGTCTGCAGGCCGACACTCTATCCACTGAGCCAAACCGGTCCTGGGATATTTCTAACTCTATTCCTCTCCCTTCCTCTCTGTAAAAAATCAATAAAATATATTTTTAAAAAAAGATGTTCCATATGATAATTTTAATGCCCACACATGCCCAGGTTGCGGGTGGGGAACAGAGCCTACCCAGCACCTGGTAAGTGCTTAGTAAAAGTTGGCTCTAATTGTAATTACCTGCCTTTGCTCTCTGTGAGTCTGTTTGCCACTTGGTCCAGATTCTGGTATGTCCCTCTGCTTCTTTAAAGCAACCTGAGCTTTATCCTTCCGAGGTAGTTGTCGTGATGGGAACGTATGGCAGTCGTCATCATGCTCCTCTGAGGGTACAGGCCTCAGTGTGGTACACTTTTGGAGTAAGGTCTTCCCTTGATAAGAACTTCTGTTTTTCTGGAATCTCAAAAATTATCATATGGAACATCTTTTTTTTAAAAAATATATTTTATTGATTTTTTTTACAGAGAGGAAGGGAGAGGAATAGAGAGTTAGAAACATTGATGAGAGAGAAATACGATCAGCTGCCTCCTACACACCCCCCACTGGGAATGTGCCCGCAACCAAGGTACATACCGTTGACTGGAATCGAACCTGGGACCTTTCAGTCTGCAGGCCGACGCTCTATCCACTGAGCCAAACCAGTCAGGGCCATATGGAACATCTTAAAGCACTTGTATGTTCTATCCTTTTTTATAGAGAAAGGGTAGTAGAAAGTATTTTAAAAATTAGGGTGCTATTATTTGCCAGATGTCCTGCTCTTAGAGTAACCACTTCATTGCCCTAGAAAAATACGTAGGAACAATCTTTATTTCATCAGACCGTCATCACTGAGCCTTAAATGAGAGGCCGTCAGGTCTCTGTCCCTCTATCTGACACTGTCTCTCTTAGGCCTGCTCGCTGGCACAAAGCCAAGAAGGTTCAACTGACCCCTGGGCAGACAGAGGTGAAGATTGACCTGCCCTTGCCCATTGTGGCTTCCAACCTGATGATTGAGTTTGCAGACTTCTATGAAAACTACCAGGCTTCCACAGAGACCCTGCAGTGCCCACGCTGTAGTGCCTCCGTCCCTGCCAACCCAGGGGTGTGCGGCAACTGTGGAGAGAATGTCTACCAGTGTCACAAATGCAGGTAAATGAGTAGTTGTCGCCGGGCCAGGGCCATGAACATTCCTTGTATCTTTCTGTTAAGAGTCAGTGTGGGCAATTTCAGTGTCTGAGTTAGAGGATTATGGGTACGTAGAATGTGAAGTACAAAGGTAGAGAAGGAGGGAGACGGGAAAGAGTGGAGAGTGTGTGTGTATGTTTGCCCAACCTGTGATGGGTGGGGGGCGGTCCCTAAGTTTAGTTCTTGGTCTTCCTTTCTTGTTATCTGGTTGCTTAAGTCATAGAGTATAGACATGATAAAATCCGTTTCCTCCCTGGGTCATCCCTACACCACCAAACTTCTGCTGCTCCCCTGACCCAAACACTTTGGTTCTTCAGATCCATCAATTATGATGAAAAGGATCCCTTCCTCTGCAATGCCTGTGGCTTCTGTAAATATGCTCGCTTCGACTTCATGCTCTATGCCAAGCCTTGCTGTGCAGTGGATCCCATTGAGAATGAAGAAGACCGGAAGAAGGTGAGGCCACTTCTGTCCTAGACTCAAGCTTTGATCTGAGCTTTCTCTACAGCTGGTGTAGGATGTGTGCTTTTCCTTCAAGCCCCAATCTTCCTCAACTCAGGACTATTTTCAGGGCCAAGCTTTTGGGTGGAAGCAAATAATGAAGTGAGATATATTGAAACACATGGTTGACCTAGGATTTTGGAGATACGTTGGTAATAAACTAGAATATCTCAAGGGGCAAATAACTTTAGATTTGGAAAGGTGGAAAGGAGCCGGGTGGCTTGCCATGCATTTTTTCCATGGACTGCTTCATATTGCAGCTGTGGGTCTTCCCTCAGTATTAGACTATTCAGGGGCCACTTCTCAGCCAGCATGATGTGATGGGACTGGATTTTAGAGGAGTGAAAAGGGGTGGGCTTTGGAGTCAAAGGACCAAAATTCCAGTTCCAGCTGTACATTTTAATACTGTGTGACCTGCCATAAACCACTTTCCAGCATTGCATGTTTATATGTATGTGATATTATATATGTACATCGAATTTTATTAAAAATAATTAGAAATAAGATGCCTGCCCCACAGGATTATTCTGAAGAAGAGAAAGAATGTATGGAGCACAGTACTTGCCCTATAGGAAGTGTTTCAGTGAACAGATCCCTCAGGGAAAGCCATTGCAATGGAAAGCCTTCATGCACTCATCCATGTCTTTTCCTGTCTAGGCTGTTTCCAACATCAATACACTTCTGGACAAGGCTGATCGAGTATATCATCAGCTGATGGGACATCGGCCACAGCTGGAGAACCTGCTCTGCAAAGTGAATGAGGCAGCTCCTGAGAAGCCGCAGGTAATCCCAGATTGCAAGGGGCATTTGAAGAGGGTCATGATCAGAAGACTGTCCCAGGTAAGACGATCTCTCAGTGGAAGGCTGACAGCTTCCCTCTTGGATTGCAGGATGACTCGGGCTCGGCTGGGGGCATCAGCTCCACTTCAGCCAGTGTGAATCGTTACATCCTGCAGTTGGCTCAGGAGTACTGTGGAGATTGCAAGAACTCTTTCGATGAACTCTCCAAAATCATTCAGGTAGAGAAATGGGAGCGCCTTTAGAGTGTGCTATTGGGAATTGCTTTCAAAGCAACCCTACTGCTCTTGTCCAGCAGTTCAGATCCTGGATGACTGGTTTTAAAAAATCCAGTGCCAAGATTCTATTTCCTTTTTTTGACATATGCCATTTTGGCAGGCTAGACAGTCAGGGAGTTCCAACTCCCTTCAACCAGGATGGGCCATATAACCGGTGGAATATTGATCTCTGTGGAATGGGAGGCTGCCTGTAGACAAGGAGAGCAGCTAGTATCCTTGTCACCGAGATTGCTGGTGTGCCTTCTTTGCCACATGTACCTGCGGTTCTGACCTTTGTCTTTGTTCTTTTTGAGAATCTGACAATGGAATGAAAAGCATCTGCCTGTGATCAGAGGCTATTCTGACTCTGCCCCTTATCTTGGTCAAGCCAATCCCTCTAAGCCTGTTTCCATCTCTCTAAAATGGGGATAAAGTATCTAACTGGTGGGATTATCAAGAAGGTTAAATTAGAAATACATGTAAAAGTTTTTTTTCCAAACCAAAGCTTTCTAGTTAACTTCCTCTTCCTCCTTATTTTAATTGCTAATTTCTTTTTTTTTTTGGTCTTTTTTTTCCTTAGAAAGTATTTGCTTCACGCAAAGAGTTGTTGGAATATGACCTGCAGCAGAGGGAAGCGGCCACTAAGTCCTCCCGGACGTCTGTGCAGCCCACCTTCACTGCCAGCCAGTACCGGGCCCTATCCGTCCTGAGCTGTGGCCACACGTCCTCTACCAAGTGCTATGGCTGTGCCTCGGCCGTCACTGAACATTGTATCACACTGCTCCGGGCCCTGGCCTCCAATCCAGCCCTGAGGCACATCCTCGTCTCCCAGGGCCTAATCCGGGAGCTCTTTGATTACAATCTCCGGCGAGGCTCTGCGGCCATGCGGGAGGAGGTCCGCCAGCTCATGTGCCTCCTAACTCGGTCAGCCTGCCTGCATCGTGGTGGGGCTAGTAATTCTTGCTAACACCAGGGTTGATGGCAGCAGTGATGCTGGGAACACTAGAGGGTGCAAAGAATTATGCTTCTCATTGCCAGACAGTTTGGCTAGTTTATCATGGAGGAGAAAATGGGGAGTTGTCCAGGGTGTAGATCAGTGGTTCTCAACCTTCCTAATGCCGCGACCCTTTAATACAGTTCCTCATGTTGTGGTGACCCCCAACCATAAAATTATTTTCGTTGCTACTTCATAACTGTAATTTTTCTAATGTTATGAATCGTAATGTAAATATCTGATATGCAGGATGTATTTAGGCGACCCCTGTGAAAGGGTCGTTCGACCCCCAAAGGGGTCTCGACCCGCAGGTTGAGAACCGCTGGTGTAGATGAATGAACTTAGGGATGTTTGAAACCCTGTGTAAGTAGTGTAATTGGCTTATACTGGGCTTGTTGGTTTCAGTGTGGTTTCCTGAGGAAATGGTCTCTGAGTTCTGGTGAGGGGGAGAAGGGCGTGACTGGGCACTTGAACTTAAAACTCACCCAAAAGAAGACAGTGGAGCCTATTCACTCAGTTAGCAAATATTTATTGACCATCTGCTGAAGGCCAGGCACTGTGCTAGACTCTGAGGTTACAGTGGTAAATGAAACGAAGTCCCAGTCCTCATGGAGCCTACATTCTAGATGGGAGAACTGCAGTGGACAGATAATTCCACAGCACAGTGTCAGGAGGTTAGATTGTGAAGAGAAGTAAAGCTGGGGTGGTGACCCTCATTGTGGAAGGGGTTGCTGTATAGGATAGGGTGGTCCAGGGAGACCTCTGAGGGTGTCATACTTGAGCAAAGAGCTGTGTAAAGTAGGAGCAAGCTGTGCTACATGCATAGGAAACACATGTGGAAGACTGAGAGGCAGGGCTGTGTCAGGAATGGAGGAGGAACAACAGGGAGGCCCATGTAGCTGGAGGGAAGCGCAGTGGGTAAACGGGGGAGTCGGAATTAGTGAGGGGTCTCTAGGGGCCAGATCCTGAAGGATTTTGTAGGCCATTTTAAGGACTTTGGATTTTTAGGAAGTGTTGGAAAGCAAGAAAGTGATATGATACAATTTACGTTTCTTTTGTGACAGTTAATGTAGACATTATTACAAAGGGGCATGGATGCCTTGTGGGAAATGGAGGCAGTTGGAGAAGTTAAGGAAAGAGTTGTGGCCAAGACTTGAGTGTGAATGCCTAGATCTGGCGACTGTGATACGCCACCTGGCACCTGAGCGCTCTGCAGCCTGGGACATGGGTGGGGACACAATCTCCCCTATGTTGGTGCTGCTCCTCCCCAGTCGGTCTCCCAGGAAAGGCGGCTGTGACATGTGCTTTTTACTACACACAAGGGTCTTGTGGGCTAACCCTATAGTTGCCCCAGGGAAGGCCAGGTAGCCCTAGACATTGATTTCCTCTTATTTTGGCTCCTTCAGGTGGGAAGAAGGGGCACAGCCAGTGGTGAGTAACGGGACCCTGTTTTTTTGCTTCTGCAGAGACAATCCAGAAGCCACCCAGCAAATGAACGATCTGATCATTGGCAAAGTCTCCACTGCCCTGAAGGGCCACTGGGCCAATCCTGATCTGGTGAGCAGGACAGGTGTCCCCGCTGACTCCTCCCTCACTTTCCTTCTTCGTTCCCTCGCTTCCTCCCTGCCAGTCCCATTGTCATGACTGAACAGTGTGTTTGCTTGTAGAGCTCATGTCCCAGAGTGATTTTGCCAGGTTAGACCCAAATCCACACAGAAAAGAGAAGTGGGTGGTCTGCCGTCTGGAGTACAAGGGCCTCCCTCTCTCCCTTCTCTCTCTGATGATGCCACTTATGACCAAAAATTTTAGTTCTTGGTGTCTGGGTCAGAGTTTGGCCATAGCCAGTCCTGGGATTGACTTTCAGACCCTTCTCTACTCATGCCTCTTCCTGTTGGCCTCCTAGGCAAGTAGCCTTCAGTATGAAATGCTGCTGCTGACAGATTCCATCTCGAAGGAGGACAGCTGCTGGGAGCTCCGTTTGCGCTGTGGTGAGTTTGGGGAAATCTGGTTAGGAGCTTTTCAGAGAAAGGAAAGGAGGCCTCAAGGTGCAGTCCCAGACACAGAGAGGAAGGGGTGGGGGGCCTACACTTGGACAGTCTTGCGGAGCAGGTGCGAGGTGTTTTATGTTCCTGACTCTGCCTTCCTTCCTGACACTAGCTCTCAGCCTTTTCCTCATGGCTGTGAACATTAAGACCCCCGTGGTTGTTGAGAACATTACCCTCATGTGCCTGCGGATCTTACAGAAGCTGATTAAACCACCTGCTCCAACCAGCAAGAAGAACAAGGTACTGGGTGGGGAGTCTCCGAGGGAAGGTTAGGGTGGAAGCCCTCATCATGCCCCAGCCAGCACTGTGCTCTGCCCTATCTGAACTCCCCTGACCTGGGGGAGGGGGCACCATTGCTTCCTTTGCCGCAGTTCAGCAGAGATGGGTTGGGATTTTTGAGAAGGTTTCTCAGAGGAAAGTCAAGGGTAAAATAAGCACAAAAATATAGCCCGGCCGGCGTGGCTCAGTGATTGAGCATCGACCTATGAGCCAGGAGGTCACAGTTCTATTCCTAGTCAGGGCACATGCCTGGGTTGCGGGCTGGATCCCCAGTTGGGGGCATGCAGGAGGCAGCCAATCAATGATTCTCTCTCAGCATTGATGTTTCTATCTCTCTCTTCCTCTCTGAAATCAATAAAAATATTTTAAAAACATACATACACACACACACACACACACACACACACGTACAGAGAACAAAGTGGTTGACATGGAGGACTACCTCTTTCTGCCTTCACGTCAGGTGACTTGCAGCTCCCAGACAGCATGGTGTTCTTCCCACCTCTGTGCCTCTGCCATGTGGTGTGTGCAGGGATGTCTTCCATTTACCAGTATCTGACCTTGGGAAGTTATTTAACTTAGGTTCCTCACTTTTTTCATCTGTAAAATGGGAATAGAGTCTCCACCTTGAAATGTTGCGAAGAATAAATGACTTAATGAAGATCAAATTCTCAGAGCAGAGTCTGGCCCAAGTTAGTCCTTAATAAATGTTAGCTGTGGCTGTATATTGTCTTCTCTGCCTAGAATGCTCCTTTGATCCTTAGCTGCTCCTCAGAAGATCCACTTCTCTGCTAGGCTGGCTGCAAGTGCCTTGAATCCAGGGACTCTCTTACTAATAATTTTTTATGTCCAGTACATAGTGTGTATCTAGCATATAATAGCCACTCAGTAAATTATTGTTAAGTGAATGAATAAAGCCAAGTTCTTATCCTAAAATAACTAGCCAAGCCACAGATCGACTTGCCTGTACCTGCTGTACACACTGTAATTTTTCTCTCGGCCATGCCTGAGACTAGCTGCCTGTAACCCCTCGTTCTGGTTCTTGGGCCATTCCAAGACCTGCTCCATCATGATAGAGTCCCTTGATGGGAGACAGAGCCTTCATTGCAGGAAGGTTGCTTTCAGAGTGGCAAACAGTAGGGAGGAGGCTGCTGTTGAACAGTTTACTACATTTCCTTTGTCCTGGGCTGCCCAGACAGTCCTCAGGAAAGACGGGACTGAGGTACCGTCCTTCCTTCCCTTTGATGAAGGTTTATTTCCCCTCAGAGCTGATTCCCAGCAAGTGAAATTGGTCCTTGTTGAATAGAAGAACCTCACCTGCACATAACTCATTTTATCCACAGTGTAAAGTGAAAGATTTCCCCAGAGTTCTTATCCTCTAAGGCTGACGCTTAGTTATAGCCCAGAGAGAGCAGCCCACAGTTCCCAAGACATTCAAGGACTCTAGGAATCTGCGGCCAACATTATTTTTATAATTACCCTTTGCCCTTTGCACTCCATGGATGTTTGTGCCCATGGTGCAGAGTCACTGCTGGTAAGACTGCTGGTGTCTTAGCAGAAGAGGCAGCAGCACCAGCTTCACGGGCTCTTCACTGCCATGCAGTTTCATTCCAGAGCTTCCTGATTAAATTAGTGAATCTCGACTCTTGAGTACTGATCTCCTTACTATTCAGTGGGACAGTGGGAAGTACGCACAAAGCGCTTCTGCTTCACTCCAAAGTGTAAGGTTGTCTTGAGGAAACGTGTGTGTGATTGTTGGAGATGCCAACTGAACCAATGCCTTTTCCGGAACCATCTGTGCTTGCAAGGACAACTGACAGGCAAATGTGGTTGCTCAGAATTGGTGCCAGGCAGATATTTTCTTGACAAATGAATAAAGTGAGCCTGTCACTTGAAGAGGAATTGATGTATTTTCCAAATGACCAGTGCATGTTACAGAATCATGCATGGGTAAAAGACGAATTTTAGTGTAATGGAATATGAAAAGTTTATTGATTGGTTTTCGATTCCACATTGCAGTCAGTCTTTAAGAACCTATAATTTGTCGAATTTCGGTATAGTATCAAAGAAAAAAATCCAAAATTAATTGGAAAGCTATAAATATTTTCTTCTCTTTCCCAGCTATATATCTGTGTAGGGCTAGGTGTTTTTCATATACTTAACCCAAACAGCATGTCACTACTGTTTGGAAGCAGAAGCCAATATGAGACTCCAGCTGTCTTATTAAGGCAGTCATTAAATTATTTTTAAAAATAGAAAACTGTGCCATTCCTTTCTCTAGATTACTTTTGTTTTGAAAAATGTAAAAAAGTCATTTAGATTGATAGGTAATGGATTTTTTTAAGAGAATAATGAGATCCTGAAGCCAAAAAGTTTGAGAACCACTGGCTTAGAGTTCTGGTTAGTAGTGGCCCTTTAAATTTTGGAGGCTGCCCGGTGATCCCTTGAAGATTTATGTTGGGAAACTGCCAGTCAGCTTGGGGATAGGAATTAGTGTATGTGGCTATAGAATTGTCTGTAGGAAGCAGCTACATCTTACCTTGCACAATCAAATCAGTGACCTTAAGCTCAGTGTGGAGATGCTACTGCTAAATTGGGTCAGAATGCTTTAACAGGAACACGTATTTGGGATAAAGATGTGACTATTGATCCTTCTGATCTTCTTGCCTTTGCACATGTCCCCTTGGGGTGCCAATGCCACTGTCGGAGCTGTGGCTCAAGTTGGCCTCACACGCTTTCCCTTTGTTCCACTCTCCTCCTGTAGGATGTCCCCGTGGAGGCCCTCACTACAGTCAAGCCTTACTGCAATGAGATCCATGCCCAGGCTCAGCTGTGGCTCAAGAGAGACCCCAAGGCATCCTATGAAGCCTGGAAGAAGTGTCTTCCTATCAGAGGTGTGCTTGTTTCTTCAAGACTGGGGAAATCAGTCCCTCCAACCCCTGTCCTGACAGCCCTAAATCCCCCCTCTTCTGTCACTTTCTTTTCCTTATCCCCCCCCCCCCCCCCCCCCCCCCCCCCTTTCCCCCCCCCCC